TGCGTTTGTGGTTGGCGGGAGGGGGACCGTGGATTGCAGTGGGGCTGGGGTGCCCCCGTCACTGCATCTTGTAGCTGTGGAGGTGGAGGGGCTTGTCTGACGATCGACTGACTCCGTGCTCACCAAGGAACACCCGGGGAAAAATCCCCTCCCCGTTCTTACAGGGCCACCAAGGGCAGGGAAGGCCCACCCTCCATTGTCGGATGCTCAATGCTCTCTTCCTCCTTCATATGCACCAAGGTGATCCCTGTCCTTAATGGAACGTGACCTCAGGAAGGTGGGGAGCCCTTGGGGATGGACTGTGCTCCCCACCCTCTCCCAAAACTGTGACCAAGAACACAGGAACACTGCCCTGGAAGGTGGGAACTGGGAAGGCAGAGCTAGGAAGGATTGCAATGAGGCGCAGAGGGAGAGACAGAGAGAGAAAGAATCGATCCTGCCAGTGGGATCCATTCAGGAATCATCGACAGTAGTTCTCCGGGGTTTTCCTGACACTCCGGCCTGCTTCCCACATATCCCTAAGGGATGGCAGTATTGCCCAGTCTGTGTCCGGGCATGCTGTTAACTCGGTGTTGGGGGTGAGATGCGGGGAAGCCGGAACGGAGGAGCTCGCTCAAAGGGCCGAATGGCCTATTCCTATGCCGATTTCCGCGCCTTCCCGAGGTTGCTGGAGGATATTTGTGGCAGCAGATGGCGTTTTCACAGACAGGAGACGAGCAAATGTCAAAACATCCTGGACGCCGGGATATTTTTAACCACAGACTCCCTGTCGAAGAATATTGGAATCCTTTCAACTGGGACAAGTCAAGGATGCGATGGGGAGATTAACGAAGGTTCCTCTGCTCGGGTCCGAAACAGTGAGCGGCCCTTTCCCGATCGCCACTGTCCCAGGTCCAGCTCCCAGTCGTTGTTTTGAGGTAGCTCGTGCAACTCTGGCAGATGGGGTGATGGGCGCCTGGTTCTGGGTGACATAGGTGCTGAGGAATATCTCCATGCAGTGTATTCTTCTGGTCAAAGTTCAACTCCATTCCCTTTGGAAACATCAGTCCCTCAACTCTCCTGCCTCCATTGCACAGTCCCATCGAGTCCTACCTTCCCCACCAACCCTACCGGGTCCCATCTACACCCAGCTCCGCCAGGTCGCATCTCCCCCTGCCCCCCAGGGTCGTCCAGGGACCTACTTTGTCACTCACTGCTCCCTATTTTACAAGCACGGCTCCTGCTAATATTCAACCATGGCTTAAAATCTTCCCTATCGTTGTCACCTCCTCCAGCCCTTACACCCCCTCCCTATCTCCGACCCTCTTCCAGCCTCTCCACCACCTCTGACCCCCCGACACCCCCTCCCTATCTCCGTCACCACCTGCAGCCCCCTACGCCCCCTCCCTATCTCTGTCCCCTCCTTTGCTGAGGATTCCCTCTCTATGCCTCCCCACCTCTGTCTGGCACCTTTTAAGATTGCACGCTAATTCTTGCCTCTTGCTGACCCTTTGCTGAAATCTTGCTCTCATGGCTCGCTGACAGATCGAGTCTGAAGTTGCAACAACAGCGTGTGTCCTGGGCCAAGCTGCGAGGTGTTGTTGGCAGAAACTCTCCATCTGGGAAAGATCAGGCTTCTTGCTTCCTCACGGTCCCTGGGGACGGCGCTGGGGAGTATAGTCTGGGGAATGTTTGCAAATGTTTCCACTCCAGATGCTTTCTCCCTTTGTCCGTTCCAGCATCAAGATGTCGTCATCCCTGGGCCGTATGGACACCATTCCTTCACCCGGAAACTGCCTCGTTTCGATCTTTGAAGCAGACCGTGAGGCAGTGCTTAACCCTGCATTCAATCCTCCTCTCCCATAGGCCCTCCTTGACCATCCTGTGGTCTGGGATGGGGGCGGGTTGAGAGTGCTGGGTCATACTGACTGCCAGCTCCAAACACTCCTTGGCTTTCCCCACCCAGCATCATCTGAACCCGCCTCTATTCCCCCTGAACCCCCCCTGTCCCCAACATGCTGCCACTACCCCAGAAATGCACATCCATCTCCAGCTGTGCTTTCAGGTCACTGGAGGTTCATTTTCATCCCTCCTGTTCTTCAAATGCACCCCGCCCCCTCCACTGCTGGACTGTTAACCCAGAAACTCGGGTAATGTGTTGGGGAACCCGGGTTCGAATACCAGCACGGCAGAATTTGAATTCAATAATGATCTAAAGATGACAAATGAATCGACTGTTAGGGGGAAATCCCACTCATGTCCTTTAGGGAAGGAAACTGCTACCCTTACCTGATCTGGTCTACATGTGACTCCAGACCTGCACAGCAATGTGTGGTTGGTTCTTAACTGCCCCTCTGGGCAATTAGGGATGGGCAAAAACTGCTGGCTGAGTGTGAATGAATATTTTAAAAAAAACCCTCAACACCCTTTGACCCATTCCGGGTCAAGACCCACCTGGAGCAGGTCAATTTTTTTGATTTGATTTCTCACTGTCACACGTAGCTAGGTACAGTGAAAAGTTTTTTTTTGTGTGCGGTACAGGCCGATCACAACGTACAAAGTGCATCAGGGCAATTGTATACTTCGCTCTGTTCTATGTCACAGCTGCAGAGAAGACGCACAAAGAGTGCGAGACTTGGGTCAGATTTGAAATGTGAGAGGTCCATTCAGAAGTCTGATAACAGCGGGGAAGAAGCTGTTCTTGAATCTGTCGGTCCGTGTGTTTAAGCTTCTGTATCTTCTGCCCGATGGAAGAGGTTGGAAGAGATTATAACTGGGGTGGGAGGGGTCTTTGATGTTGGCTGCCTTCCCGAGGCAGGGGGAAGTGTAGATGGAGTCAGTGGATGGACTGGGCTGTGTTCACAACTCTCTGTAGTTTCTTGCGGTCCTGGGCAGAGCCATACAAAGACATGATGCATCCGGATAGACGTCTCCGGAGGCACGGACACTGACCCATTCAGGGATGTTCCAACACACCCTCTGGAACCGGCCTGGGCTTGACCCCAGGACTCCTGGCTCAGATGTCTGGGCACTGCCACTCCACCAGAAGGGCCCCGAAAAATCCCATGCACATCCCAGTACAGTGCTCAAGATGTTTACCCTGTCAGTGGCAATGCACAGAGAGCACCTCAACTCGGAACATGAGCGGGCCGGTCACCCAGAGGCCCAGGCTAATCCCCCGGGAATGCAGGTTCAAATCCTAGAATAGAGAGTCGGGGGCTGGGAGGGAAGTAGCAGAGAAACTTCACCGTCATTTTGGGTCTGCCTTTAGTGGGGAATCTCCCTGGGAAAAAGTTGTGGGACTAGTGTCGTTCATAGTATATTTTTGGCAGCATGCCCTCGATCTGTACTGTGTAATTCTATAATCAGATAAGCGAGGAACTACAGTGAAACCTGGGAGCTGAGGAGTTGGGAAGTCTGCAGTTTTTTTTTTTTTGGAGTGCAGATCAAGGAACATCAGTAGATGTGACGTATTTGGATTTTCAGAGGTTTTTGATAAGATCTCACACGTGGAAGGGGGAATAAATGGATGGAGAATTGAGACAGAAAGTAGGGAGCAGGAATAAATTGACCACTTTCAGCACAGCCGGCTGTTCTCATGGTTTATCACAAGGTTCCCAACTTTTCAAAATCAACATACGTGATTCTGGTGTGGGCACCAATTGTACATTTGCAAATTGGTTGGGATGCATGTTAGTTATTCATTTATCTATCTGCTATTTTGAGTCATAGAGATGTACAGCACAGAAACAAACAGTCCAACTCGTCCGTGCCGCCCAGATATCCTAAATTAATCCAGTCCCGTTTGCCAGCTTTTGGCCCATATCCCTCTAAACCCTTCCTATCCATGTCCCCATCCAGATGCCTTTTAAATGTTGTAATTGTACCAGCCTTCACCATTTCCTCTAGCAGCTCGTTCCATACATGCACCACCCTCAGCGTGAAAAAGTTGCCCCCGAAGTCCTTTTTAAATCTTTCCACCTCTCACTTCAAACTTATGCCCTCTAGTTTTGGATTCCCCTACCCTGGGGGTAAACACCTTGGCTATCATCCTCTCCATTCCCCTCATCATTTTATAAACCTGTATAGGTCACCTCTCAGACTGAAATGCTCCAGGGAAAATCTCCCTAAAGATCAAACCCTCCAACCCCAGCAACATCCCAGTAAAGAATCCTTTGAGGAAGTGACCAGGTAGATGTACTGCAGCTGGATTTCCTGGACGTATTTGAAGAGGTGCCACATCAAAGATTATTGGGGAGGTTTTAAAATACTGCGTGCAATTCTGGTCTCCCTGCTGTAGGAAGGATGTTGTGAAACTTGAAAGGTTTCAGAAAAGATTTGAAAGGATGTTGGCGGGGTTGGAGGGTTTGAGCTATAGGGAAAGTCTGGAGAGGCTGGGGCTATTTTCCCTGGAGTGTCGGAGGCTGAGGGGTGACCTTGTAGAGGTTTATAAGACCATGAGAGGCATGTATAGGGTGAATAGCCAAGGGTAGGGAAGTCCCAAACTAGAGGGGCATAGGTTTAAGGTGAGAGGGGAAAAGATTTAAAAGGGACCTAAGGGGCAACTTTTCCAGGCAGAGGGTGGTGTGTGTATGGAACAAGCTGCCAGAGGAAGTGGTGGAGACTGGTACAATTACAACATTTAAAACGCATCTGGATGGGATTATGAATAGGGAGGGTTTAGAGGGATATGGACCAAATGCTGGCAAATGGGGCTAGATTAATTTAGGATATCTATTTGGCATGCACTGGTTAGACCAAAGGGTCTGTTTCTGTGCTGTACAGCTCTGTGAGAGCTCAGAGTGTTGTTGGGGATAACATACTGGCCTGGATCAAAGGTTGCTTAATGAAGAGGAGTCAGACCCATCCATGTGTTAATTTCTGGATGGCAAGATGTAACAAGCGGTGTGCCACAGGATTCAGTGCCAGGATCTCGGACATTGATGTAAAATATACAACGGTTTGTCGGAGGGAATGGAAGGTCCCGCTACTAAATTTGCTGCCAAAACAAAGTTGGCGACATGGTGAAGTGGGCACAAGGGGGCTACATGGACAGTCTGAGCAAGTTGTCAAGGATCTGGCAACGTGTGAGACTGCCAACTTTGTCAGGCTTTCATTGGAGGGCAGACTCACGTTCCGGATTTCTAACCTCGCACATCTCCGAGTTTTCTGTCACTGACTTACTCAGGCCACTTCCAAAGGCTCCAGCTGCCAGTGTTTGTAGTTGGTTGGATGACAGCGAGCCCATCCCTCCCGTCTGGCTCCGTGGGTAGCGCGCCCTCCTCTGAGTCACAGGGTTGTGGGTTCGAGTCCCCACACTAGCATCCAGCACAAAACACAGACTTTGCCTGTCCCAGGGGAGCGCCGTGCTGTCGGAGGGTCAGTGCCGAGGGAGCGCTGCATCATCTCAAAGTCTTGGCAATTGCCCACTGCAGACGTGGCCAGCTCAGATTGAGGCAATGAGACCTCGAGGTAGCTGGAGTGTGCTGGACAGCGTCTGTCATCCCTGTGACGGGCAGTTCTGGACTGGATGCCCTCTGGGTATGGCGCTGTGCGAGTTGGCACGTCCCTGGACACTCTGTGAGTTGCTTCCTGTTAATTTTTCTCACAGTGTTGCTGCCAAGCTCTGTGGGCTGGGAAGCAGCTGGGAATGTAAACACTGCCCTCGTTATTAACTTTCTCACTCTGTTTACCCTGTGGGCCAGAGATGGCTTCAATCTGGGAAAGGACTTTGAGGTGTGTGTGTCCCATAAACGCTGACAGCAGACGGGAAACCAAAAGGCTTTTGCAATCCTGGCCTTGCTCCGGACTGGCTGGGTACAGGCCCAGGCTACACAAGGGTTACAGGTTATCCCTAGGCCTTTACCCAGGGTGGTGGGTGGGAGTTAGGAGGGGGAGCGGGCGATATTCCCCAGAGAGGACCCAGGCAGCATTGACGAGAGATATTTTAGTTGTTCACATCTTTTGGTTTATCCTGTTTCCCTCCTCCTGTCGCGGGAAGTGGGCATCGCTGGTGAGGCCAGACGTTATTGTCCCCATCCCCAATTGCCCGATGAGCTGTGTCTCACTCTGCGTGGACAGTTCAGAGTCGACCCCATCGCTGTGGGGTCTGGAGTCAGGAGTAGGGCCCACTCCCCTCAGCGCTGACCCTCCGTCAGTGCTCGCTCCCTCAGCGCTGACCCTCCAACAGTGCGGCACTCCCTCAGCGCTGACCCTCCAACAGTGCGGCACTCCCTCAGCGCTGACCCTCCAACAGCGCGGTGCTCCCTCACTGCCGAGCCTCCGACAGTGCTCACTCCCTCAGCGCTGACCCTGGAATTGTTGGGAAGTTTACTGAGAGACAGCTGTGATATTGTGGCGTTAGAGACTCCTACTGTTCCGATAGCCTGGCTGCCGCTGTCTCCAGCTGTTTTACTGAAAGTTTTGTATTGAGTCTGTTTATTTTTCTAGATCCGGAGTGACATAGTTACACAGATGGAGCAGATAGACATTGCTTTGAGAGAGAGAGAGAGAAAATGTGCTTGTAACGGGCGGCACTGTTCCTCTCTGTCAGTATTCTGCCAAACAAAGCCACAGTTTTAGTGGGAGGCTGTGAGAATTGAGATGCCAGTGTGAGCTGTGTGTGGGGCCTGAAGTCGAAGGGACATCTGATCAAACTGTCATTTTCCTTCAGAGATGTAGTTATAAATCGTGCCCCTTTATCCTGCAGCAGCTCTGGGCCAGGGAATGGTTTCTTCAGTTTGTGTGCATTCACTCATTGTCAGTCACCCCTTAGACTCTTCCCCCAGTCGGTGACCCCTTTAGCCGCGCTCTTCCCCCAGTCGGCGACCCCTTTACCCGCCGTCTCCTCCTCAGGGACTATATTATTTAGAATCTCTCTGAGACCTCTCTGTCCTGGCTCAGACTGTCAAAGACACCCCCCCATCAGACTGTGTCTGTCCCACTGCCGTCACACTTGGATGTTTTACAATGAATAACCCCATGTTTCTTCTCTCTCTGTCTCTCTCACTGTCTCTGTCACTGTTTCACCCACCTCCCTGACACTCTCTCTGTCTCTCTGTGCACCCCCTCCCCACCAAACCTCCCTGACTCTCTCTCTCTCTTCTGGTGCAGTGAGGAAGGAGCAGCGGTGTGAACTGAACTGCCGACCTTCGGGATATCGCTTCTACGTACGTCACGCAGACCGGGTGCAGGATGGCACTCCCTGTGAGGCTAACTCCACGGACGTGTGTGTTGGTGGTCACTGCCTGGTGAGTATTCCCACTCCCGCACAACCCCTGCCCCACACCACAACCCCTCCCTATCTCTGTCACCTCCTCCAGCCCCCTACACCCCTTCCCTATTTCTGTCACCTCCTCCAGTCCCTACACCCCTTCCCTGTCTCTGTCACCTCCTCCAGCCCCCTACACCCCCTCCCTATTTC